TCGACACGCCGTTGCACATCAAGGTTTCCTCCGCCGCTCCAGGAAATGCACCATGACAGGTTCTCGTAACGTCCATACAAAACCGTTCGCAACACCTCCGAGAAAATTGCATTGGTTGCCGTCCAGCCTCTCGAAATAGCAGCAGCTACGCCGCATCCTGTCCGTTGCACATCGGAGCTTGCATCGCATAGACTCTTCGTCGACTCCTTTCGCTCGTTAATAGTATGCAGCGACTATTTGATTCTCAGCTCACCTGCAGCTTCCATTCTCTAGTGTGTGCGCATCTGCCATACAGGTGCAGTCTGACAGGCCCTCTACCGGAGCATTCTCCCGCGTACGGACAGGAGCACATTTTCGCCAAAGACAGAACTCGCCGCAGCAACGGAACTCCAAGAGATTGCGCATCGTCGCTGCCCTACGAGAGCCGATTACTGTACCACCACCGAATGACACACTTCTGCACAGATGACTACGACCGATAGATGACTGCAGCTGTCAAAATCAGGCCTATCGATTGCACGATATCACCTCAGCGGTCAACACCACGGAGCATCGTCGTCTGCGATACGACGAATAGCGAAATGTCTGATGCTGACATGGCGGGAGGATCCTTCCACGTGGATGCATTTCCCTCCCGCTCTGCCGCCCGTCTGTCGTAAGCACACGTCCTGCGAACCGCGGATATGCGCAGTGAGGACTGTTTGGAGGGGCCGCGAGGCGGTTTCAGGTCAGACGACGTCCGTTCGGCGTAGGGCTGAATCCGCGGTTTTCGGTGAGGGGCACAACCACTAAGAGCTGCAGCCGCCGCCATCACCGCTTTTTACCCCTGATCTTATCACCTAGGAATCTCCGTTAAGCTCCCAAGAATTGACCAAGAGAGTCAAGAGGTGCAGCCAATGTAGGCGGTACTTTGGTTGGAGTAGCATCTCGCTTAGACTGATAGTGTCGAGGTACGTACTTGTATGACCGCATGACGTTTGTAATCTCACAGTCTAGAATGAGGATCGCCTGAGAACCGTTCGAACTTGTCATCCTCAGAGGACTGAAGCGGTGAGTTTGCCTGACTACTGTGATACTTATGGTCGCCGACTTCTAAAGCGATTCCCAGCGGACCTTCTCTGGGTATGTCTCCAGCCAACTTGTCCTGGAGTAAGGGTATAGATACTATAGTACATTACTCTGTAGGAGCGCTTCGTCTATTGAACACTACTTGGGTAGGATCTTATTTATCCAACTGCAGCACTTTAGGAATAGTAATACGCTATCTACACACCCGTTCTAAAGGCTTGTTCTCTCGTTTTCTCGACATCAATCATTCAGCGTTGCACAGTCACGAAGTAAGGTACAAAGATCGCAGTTCAGATCACTCTTCTAGGCGTGCTGTCTACCGCTATGTAAGAGCCCAATCAAGTAGTGATTGGAGGTTAGAATGCTCCTAGATGAGCTATTGCTATATCCTCTTCTCACTGGTAACGTTTTCACATACTCCCGTTCTTTCATAAGGTCAGACCCTTCACTAGTTATTTTCTCTTCTTTCACTGTCTACCTTCACCTTCACTCTCACTCCGCCTTCACTCTCTACCCTTCTTCCCGCTTCCACGCCCTTCCACGCCCTTCCACGCCGCCCTTCCCTTACCTTCGCCCGTCGCCCGGCCGACGCCCGGCCCTACGATATTCCGAACGCTCCGCCGACAGGTATAAAAGGCGGCCTGCCCCCCGACCCCTACCTGTCACCATACTTACCTTGTCGGAGCTCAGGCGCACAAGAATGTCTTGAGCTGGCTGGATTCGCCTGCATTGCACAGCGCGGAGTGGATCCGGTCTGACGCAGCTTCGGTTGTATCGGCGGCGCAATTTTTGCTGGCTTCTCCTCTCTTTGAGAGGGCTTTTCATTGCTCTTGTCGCGCTTTGTAGCGTGGTGGTTCGAGGAAGAGCGCTGTGATGGACAGAGTTGGCGGAGCTAGTGCTCACGCGTGCTGGACCACCTAGCCCTTGGTGCCTTGCGCGCGCGATACAAGCTCTGCTTCTCTAGGTGGAAGATATCTGTCGCTCTACTGATAGCTGCTGAACCTAGGTAGCGTCTTCAGGCGGTGCAATTGCGCGCAACAGCTTAGGTTCTACCATGCCGCTCTTTAGTTGACTCGTAACTGGGACCCGACCACCATTCCGCGTTGCCAGCTCCACCGAGCTTCTCATCCTGCGCGCCTTCTGCTCTGGGACGAGCGTTTAGCTGGCAGTTGACCGCGATAAGGACCGTAGACTCGCCGACGCGTTCGAACAGCCGTCGCGATAGCGGATGAACCATTCGATTGACCGCGCAGGTCGCGATAGCGCCACTTTCACCGGCGCCTCTGCTCATGGATGAAGTGCACTCGCGCGCTACTAATCGACCGCCATGGAACTGTAGTCTTTGTTCCGACGGCCGGACTGGGGGTACAGATTTTAGAAAGGATTACCATCCAGCAGCACTTCAAGCTTCAAACACTACATAGGTGAGACTCTTATGTTAGTATCGGTCGACGGTAACGTTCCTGCTCAGACAGCGCGAAGCTCGATGACATAATGTCCTTCTACAAGACGCAGTGGGAAACATCCCCAATTCGCAAACAACTGGTTTTTAATCTGGAGGAGAATAGCCAGCAGATGGAATCAGTCAAACAGATTGTGTGCTTTGGTCTTGGATCCCTGGAATTGAGGATCTATCGGGCAATTGCGCAGCACCTCGCTGCTTGCGACATCCGCGACATTCTCGGCAAAGTGAACAAGGACATGAAGCTATATGCCCAGGATCCATGGTACTGCCACCGATGCAAGAGTATTCTAGGAGACCTTACATTTGAGTTCTTAGACGACCCCGAACGCTTCGTGCGAGTCGACAGGAACACGTTCGTCTTTACCGTGAACCCTGGCGTACCCGTACCGGAACGGGGGTACAGATAGCAGCGTATTACGGTTCTTGAAGTGGTTTAATCGTTTAAACGAGGCCGTAATGAAGTAGTTTTTGATAGACGAAGTGCTCCTATAGCGGAACCCTACGGTATCTGTACCCCTACTCCGGGCGTACGTCAGATTGTGACGGACTTCACGGCAGATCAAGGCGGGCCAGCGGGCATGGTCTGCAACACAATCCACAATGATGGAAGACTAAAGGGGCCAGGATGAGGTGCGACGGATCTTCCCCGAACGTCTGGGCTTTCCGAGAAAGTTATTTAAACATGAATTTCCTTAACAGCAACGAACTGTATGGTAGTTTCGATAACACGTCAATGTATCTTAAAATGAGGAAATAAAGTTTATCGGCGTCGCAAAGACAGGCGCTAAAACAGGGAGCAGGCATTGATGCCATACCTAGTTCGAGTGACGGTATAGGAGCCCTTTAAGCATCATAATACGATATATATACCCCTTCTTCTTGGGGAGTCTAGCATGATGGGAACTAAAGCTGTAGGTATAATGACGTCAGAACGTACTTGTATACTAAACGAGACTGACGGCATTCCCTCTAGCATCCTTAGATTTGGTTTCATCTATCAGCTAGATGAACTACTGTTGTCGAGATCAATATTGGCGGACAATTAGCCAGATGCCCTCTTTGAAGACATTCTAGCATATCGATGCTCATCATTCACCACGTCAACGACTTGCCGTCCAAGCTGCTCAGCATCAGGGAGGAACTGCGCAGAGAAGTAGTTATACTTCGGATCTGAAACGACAAATCTATCATCCAACCAGCTCAGCTTCTATTCCTCATTATCCGGACACTCAGATCACACTATCGGCGAGAAACTCATACTACTACTAAGTTATATTTCCGGGTCATTCAACTTCCCTTCCACAGTCTACTATACCGAAACCATCCCCGCTCCATACGTCTTATAGTAGTCTCCAAGAAGGAAGCGAGGGGCTTGGTGTGTGTGTCTTCTTCCTGGAAATACATGAGATTAAAGCAAAATGATAGAAGACAAGTTTAAATTACTACTCCAATCTCCCCCTCACAGCCTTTACTCCACCCAAGTAACTAGACGTCCTTCCCATCAACCCATCTCGGAACATCATAGCCAACCATCATTACCGCCTCCTCCCTCTTCAAGAACATCTGCTCATCAGGCATGACAATCTTTAGATACTCCTCGTTTGTAAAAACCTGGTATGTATTAGCTCTCATCTCACAAGTCCCCGTCCTCTCCAGCCCTTCTTCGCTGAGTTTACTTACACTCATCAAATCCTCCACACTCCTCGCCCACATCTCCGCGCCGCCATCATACCCCGCAAACGGCAGCTTGCCCTCCATACCCTCTTTGAATTTATGATCGACATGAAACTGACTGTACTTGACGATCTTCTCGCGGACAATGGGGACGCTGAGCCAGATCTTGGGGTGCGAGGTGGACCAGTAGGTGTGGAAGTCCTCGTGGGAGATGGAGTCTTGTTTGCGGATTAGGATGGTGATGCGGACTAGTTGGTCTTGTGAGATGGACATTGTTGAAACGAAGTAATGGTGCGTTGCTGGGTAAGTTCTAGTAGATGCTGCGAGTGGCGACGGTAGAAGAAGGAATTAGCGATGATGAAGTACTTGGAAATGCGAAATGGGAGATGAACTAAAGAAAACCTGAATGCGTACTAACTTATACTCCACGCTCTCAACCCTACGGATACCGCCCATCGCATGCGCCGACGGACGCACTCACACAGTCACGTATATCAGGAACGGAGAACCGGCGTGACTACCTTATCTACTACCCCGACTCCTACGCTCACCCCAAAATTCAATCGTCATCACTCATCCTACGCTACAGAGTAGTAACATGCCTCCTTAGTGGCGCTCCTAGCTACGGCGAAAGGTTGCGCCAGACCCCTGCTCTACTGAGATGCTCCGTCGTCCGACGGCTCCGACCCACAACAAACACCAACATGATTTCAAAAAAAAAGAGTCACATCATTCGTTAAACACATCATATGCTGTGGAAATAGAGGGGAAAAAAGGCAAAAAAGAAGTAAAGGGCACGCGTCAGGAATCGAACCTGGGTCTCCCAAAGCGGCCAGCTCAATTGAACCAGCATATGGGTATCCTACCACTAGACGACACGGGCTAGAATGTTGTTTAATATCACTTCTTGTCGCGTGATTGATACATCTAATCTCTACATTTTACTCATAAGACAAACCGACTTCATTTACCATACATGTCCACAAATCTCCAACGCACCGCCGAAGCCCTCCATTCCCCTCTCCCCAAACTACCACCCCTCTACACCCGAACGATAAAATCAGCAAAAATCGACAAAAAGAAGTGGCTAGGAATCGAACCCAGCCTTTGAATGAATGTTGGTCATCGCCGACAAGCAACGATGCCGCTAGACTATATGTATCTACCTAGCAGTTTGTCAGCGTTCAAGTTGGGTTCATTTACCATTTTTAATTATATAAGGATGACGAAAATTGCTACTTGGAAGCAGGGAAATTGCTGAGGTTAATTATTGTAGCAGAATGAGGAATGATAGGTACGGAGCAAGTAGTGGTGAAGATATTGTACTTACATCACTCTGTGGGAGCGCTTCGTCTATACTATACTGCTGAGGTAGGTCGACTACACCACTTCACGTATCATAACATGCCATCTATACTCCTAATCTATGAGACTACCTAAGCTAGCTCCTCGAATTGGGAGACGAAGTAGAAGACGTGACATACAAGCAAAAGTATCTATTAGAAAGCTGGGTATATACCGGGCCCATCCATGAACTAGCTATCAACTAGGACACATATACCTACATCCATCGACTGAAAACGCCAAATATGCCGAGCCAAAAGTCTATCTATTCATCGCGCCAACGAGCGAAGCAAGTCGCTGCACATCATATACACCATCATCAAGGGCCTGCATACCCAATCGAATCACGGTTATCATCAATGATCCTGCCATATCTATATTCTTAGTCAGTACTGTTCGCAACGAGGTGGCAGGAAGGGGGAGGAACTCACTCGAGAAGTAGCCTGAAGAACCAGACCTCGAAATCTACATTCCTCAGCACCTTGTTCGCCCACTCCGTACTCCGTTCCGCAATTTCCTTTGCCTTTTGCTCACCGATCGAGTTGCCGTTGCCATTGCTTCCCTCTTTAGGACCGTCTTTCTGCTGGTCGGCTCCGCCGAAGAAGCGCACAAGATCGAGATGTTCGTCGCCAATCAATGTGAGAGGAATGTAGTGGACCCACGGCTTCAACCACTCCTGATGCCACTCTCTGAAAAGCGCCATTTTGTACGTCAAGCTCTTGCTGCGAAGGAAAGCGTAGAAACGTCCCGAGAAAGCGTTGCCGTCCATATCGAGGAGGTGCTTATACTGCCAAGCATCTTCTCGGTCAACTTTGTCGACGACCTCGAAGAATTCTTTCTGCGCGTCACAATCGCCATCGTCGCATTGTCCGATGTGGCTAAACTTGACATCGATGAGTGGCTGCCAGTCTTTGCGGTTCACATCTTGCACTTCGTAGGCCGGAGAGTTGTCGTTACCGGAGTTGACTAACACCTCCGCTTTGTCAAGCGCACTGAGACGACGGACAACATGCTGACGGTGCTGTCTTCTCCAACCGCCATTCCGGCTGAATCCGCCGGTCGAAGAGCCGCGCCAGTAGAAGCTGTTTGTCTTGTTCTTCCAAACCCTGTCTTTGCTCTCATCGTACCTGACCTTCTCAAACCAATACCACGGGCTGGGATATAGTAAATCGTTGAAGCTTGAGACCTTTGATTGTGAGAAGATCGGAGTCAGCTCATGGATAACGTTGAACGCATTTGGCCTTTCGAAGAAGCCGAAAGTGTAGGCGAGGGAAGGCGACCTGCAGATGTCGGAGAAAGCGGTGTGATTGTAGATGTAGTTGAGGGGCGCAGTAGCGTACGAAGTCAGGTTGTCGGCACCTTGATCCTCGTAATCACGAGCTGGGCTGTCGTTGGGACAAGAGAGTCGGGCGTGTGTCCAAGTCTGCTGGTGTGCGAATTCGTTGAAACGGCTTGTCTTGACTTCTTCAAAGCGTTTCCCATCGGATACATCCGAAGGTCGAGATGAGAAAGAGTTTCGAGGTGATTGGGTAGTAACAGCAGCTGGAATGCCTTTATCGCGTGCCAAAGCCACAAGTCCGCTGAGGGCATCGTTGGGCACAACAACTCGAGGCTCGTCGTGAATGTTGAAGGCGAGGTCCATGTCAGGGAGATACTGCACAAAGTCTTTCATCATCCCTGCTGTGGCTTGCTGCTGCCATTCGGGTCCACCTTCTACCTTGACCACGTCTCCATTCCGGACCATCATGCCTACTAGAGCATTCTTCTGGAAGCCAAGCGCATTCTTGACCCGTAGCCTGATTGTGGACGGCTTCATGCCCCAGTAGGGCAAGAGCATGTCATTGATCATATCGAATTCGTCAATGAGCTGCACGCCATTGCGAGTTGCGAACTCATACCACTTGTCGAAGTGAGGGGGTGGGTGAACCCCGTGTCGGCGACGGTATTCCAGAACAGCTGCCTCCAGAGACTTGGATTGTCGGTCAAGTAAATCCTGAAAATCCTTTTCGGCAGACTTGATCAATTGCAGTGCCGGGTGCCCCTTTCCTAAATCAATAGTAACGGGTGCAAAGGGTCGCTCAGGTGTGAGAGCATCGAACGAATTCGCATCGGGAGTCGTCGAGTGAGTCGGGTGATGCCGGGGATCGGAGGCGTAGCGCATGAACAAGAAGCATATAGACATCGCCGTAACGCCAAACATAATCCGTTTTAGTCGTAAAGGGGTTCGAATAGTTCCATCTGAAGAAGGTGAAGAGTTAAATATAAACGAAGAGGCTGCGAGGCCGTATATGACCGTGAACCAAACGCCAATGAAGGAGGCGCCAAAGCTCAGTCGAGCTGCTATACATGAAGATAACATGAGCACCGATACAGTTACAGAGCTCTGTTGTAAAAGCTAAGAGAGGTTCATTAGCATCATATGAACTGGTAGGAAATGAAGCAATCGGATGTGAGGAGCCAAAGCTTGGGAAACAGCTAGCTGGTTGGCTTCGTAGAGTCGGATATCGAAATGTTGACTTACAAGTATGAACATCGAAACATTAATTACAATATTGACGAACATCATCAGCAGGCACTGTTGGATAGTCCTGTGATAATGGAAGGCCTGCCAATTGGCTCCCCAGCGACTGTACGCGGGTTGCCATGATATGGCGCCCGGATTGATGGCGGGCTCAGTCAGGTAAGTCGCGGCACCGCAAAGCACGACCATGACGGCCGCAACATCGCGCAATGATGCAAGATGCCGGTCCTTGTGTGCGCCTTCGAGGGAACTCCGCCGGGAAAAGGTCCCGTTTGCTGACATGAAGCCTCTGTTTCCATCGCCATTATTTTTCGAGTCTTTCAGAGCGCCTTCAAAAAGTACAAGGCCGGTCGCGGTAAAGATGACGCTGCTCAAGGCCAACGCCCACGTGGAAGAGATGGTATATCGCACCGCAAGGGCAGCGGTCGCAGAGACGGCGATGAAGGCCAGCAGACGGAAAGACTTTGGGTGCGCTGTACTTTTCTCGGAGCTCGTGGTGCCATCGCCAGAGGAATCGTCGCGGACGGAGGTATATGAGGGCAGCCCGATGTGCTTCGAGAGGAACTCGCGCTCGGAGAGGAGGACAACGACGGCGGGGAGGAGGCCCTGTTGAGGATTAGCTTGGGAGCAGGTATGTCTGCGAAAAGCGTCCTACCTTAGCAGCCCATATGCCCAGCTTGTCGCAGGCCGCTCGTTCGCAAAGCTGGGACAGAGCTAGAAAGCCTCCAGCGAGCCAACTCGTCGTCTTCCTGCTCCTGCTGCCGCCCGACCATAGCCCTGCCTTGAACACAGTGCCTAGCCATATCACCGCCCACGAAACGGTCGTTATGAGGAGCGAATGGTGGACCGGGGCCCAGATGTTTGCGGCAGTCGCGAGCAGCACGAAGACGATCGGGGCAACGAGATGCAGGTTCTTGAGGGCATGCTCCACGACTAGAGACGCTGCCGGGTGCATTGGTGAGGATTATATCCGCACGTCGCAGGACATATCCCGGGTTGATGTCGCGAGATAGACTTTTGGATGTCCGTGGTGAATTACAGGAGATCAGCCCTTCGGGAGCCTACGAGCTTGGCGATCTGCGCTAGTGACGGAGCCGCCAGGGGTCTGCCGAGATACATCACTACAGGCGCACTACATGGCGCACTACAACTGCATTGACGGCTTCATACAAGTTCCACTTTGAGCATCGAATTGCTTTATTTGTTCCACGACAACACCCGCTGATATCTGCTACCCTCCAAGTCCCACAAGAAGGGCACCCCCGCTCTGATCTATGCAATCAATCTCGAAACGTACGGTAAAAGGACCACCACGGTTCTCCCTCGCCCGCCCAGTCGCACCAAAGGAATCCCACAACAAGGCCGAAGATTAATGTGTCAAATAAAAGGAGCATCTCGTCCGTAGGCGTCAAAGGGTTGTCGCTCCACCACCATCTAATACACTCGTCAACACTATGCCCGCAATGTCACCTCAGGCTCACGAGGCTCACAGCTGAGCTTCAGGTTGCTGCTTAGACCTTTGTACGATTCCATCTGTCGAATAGAAATTGTTCTGAGGGACATGGCTCGGCTTCCCGGTCTGCTCGTCGAATTTGTTGCAGCCGTAGACTGCAGCGTTGGGCGGTGTGTAAACTGATGCTGTTAGACCAGCCTACACTCGCTAGAGAAGACATCCTGACTTACGGTGGAGGGAGACAGCCCACTCTTGTGGATCCGGATTGCCGATTTTATGCAAGCCCAAGTCGTCAGACATGTATGTCACTTCGTTGACATTGTACGGCATGGGGTTTCCATCTCGCACCAAAGGTTGCTTCTCCTCATTGATGAGCTGTTCGACGGTCGGTCGATGGAATCGTGTCTCCAACAATTGGCCCTTGAGTATCTTCATAATGCAGTGTGCATTTGCGTGACTGGTCGCAGTAAGCAGCAAACCCCAAGGCAGCTCCTCGATAACACGGAATCGACGTACTCATGAACAGCGCTTTCTTGTCCGGGTCTCCACGAAAGAAGAAGCTGCC